CTGCTTGTTGAGCAGACTAGCACAGTAGCTTAAACAATGCTTTTGATTCTCTAGAGAGAATGTTCCAAAGGTGCAAATAGACCATGGTGTGTGTGGAGCAGCATATCAGCAGTTCATCCTGGCTAGTGTGGGTTGTGCTGATAGTCTAAAGCACTTGATACTGGCAAAATGAAAGGTTAAACAAAGCAAAGATTTAGAAAGTGCCATCTGTCTTCCATCAAGTAGAGCATGGGGGAGGAGGTGTGTCTAAGTGCTAGAAGATACAGAACAGGAAATTTTTGGCATTTCATTTGAGTATTAATTACGCTCTGCAGTTTTTGCATTACATAAATGTGAATAATAGCTGAGCTGAAAATACCAAATCTGACAGGTATTTGATCAGTAATGTCTGGACAATGGTAAAGAAATATCTACTGGTGAACTAATACCATTAACTCATAGGAAGAAGATATGTTGGTAGCTTTCTGAAAAATGCACATCTTAAGATAACTAACATCTTAAAGTAAGTCCCATGTGTTTCTGTGCCTCAGGGTTCAGTGCAGTTAGAGTAAATGCAGAACGTACAGAAAAACTGAGTTTGTTCAGAGTGACTTGTGCCTGCTGGGAAAACCTTGTAATGAAGGTACCTTAGATCCTACCAAAGCACTGAATGTCATTTTATTAATTTACACATCTCCTTTGCTACTCTTGCAATTTGATTCTCTTACTATCCTTTGCAGTGGTAAGGATGAGGTGCTGGAAAAGTCAAGAGACTTGACCTAATCTGTTTCTAAAGACATTCAGCGATAAGTATCTGTTGATTAATGTTATCTATTGACCTCTTTCAGCAGCCTTTCTTACTATTTGTATTCAATTGTTTTAGCCCTATGACTTGGGTAGCATCTGTGTGTCCCTACCAGAGAGCTGAATCTGGCTGTTGTTCTATTTTAACTCACTGTACATGCAGCAGAAATTGTTCCCGTTGGTTCAGCCCGTTTTGATTATGGTTAGCACATTTTGGCAAACCCGGACTGGCTCCTGGTGGAAAATGTAGTGGTTAAAATAGTGTTATGTGGCTCTGACCTGGGATGGGAACTTCTAGAAGGGGAAAAGCCTTTAGCTCTTTTTTCTGCTCCCCTGGCAGGATGCACTTGCTTTTCCATTGCAGTTTGCTCTCTGCTCTCCAAATCTGGTATGTGGATTATGGAACAAGAAAAGTTGCAGTGCAGAGCAGTTTAAGGAAACGGGGTGATGCCTGTGCTGATTTGTGACCCAGTGACTAATGAAAGACAGTAAGGCTAACAGTCTCTGCCCTGAGCACAGTCCATCAGGGAATATCTGTTTAGTTCTCTATCTGATATCTATTAGTGGAGATGTTTGGAAGGGTTCATTTCTAGTTTGAGTTTGGCACTAGTCTTTAAACAGTGGCTGTTTTTGTTTGGGAGGCGGTGGTGGTAGTGGACAAAACTGTTCTAGGGCCTTATTTAATCTTTTTGTTTTCTGATCTCTGTGCCTTTTCAGTGCAGAGGTTAAAACCTGAAAGAGGGAGGGCAATAAGCATCTCTGTGTCTTTCAGTTGTCAGTATATATTGCTCTTAATCAAGTTGTAATTGAATGATCCAAACTGAAATAGAGATTCTTGACTTGTAAGAAAAATAATTGGCTTTGAAATAGACTTTTGTCTTTTTCCTAGGTGACTTACTGATGGCTTCCTGATTGTTTTTCCTTATTTTTGAAATTGACAAAAAGCATTGCCCAAGTATTGTCTTCATTTAAAATATTGTGCTCTGCAGCTATTTAAAGTCTAGTTATAAAGTGTCATAAGTTCAGATTTAATTTACACTTATTTTGAAAATAACTTTTTAAAGTATGTTTTTAAAAAAAATCAGACTTAAAAAATGACCAGCTTAAGCTATGATTCAGTACTTAAATGGCACAGTCTAAGCAACATGTAGTAATATGAATAAATGGTGGAGCAACTAACTTATTGCCTGTGTTGACACAAAATGGAATAAAACTTGCTTGACTTACCATTCCATCAATACTATCAAGATTACTCTTAATGAAACTGTGAGGAAAAAACAGAAGTGAATGTTGGCAACCTTGGCAAAAGCAACTCTCACAACTGTCCATACCTTATTCGTGTGTGTGTGTGGCTGATAGAGTTCTTAAAGAAGTTCACAAATCTGTATTTTAAATTTTTTTGAATGAGAGTCGCTTAAAGTCTTCTACATTGGTCTGGATAAAAGCTATAGGTATAAAAAACTGCATTAAGAAAAATAATGGTGAGCTCTGAGTCAAGGCAGTTGAATTTCTGTAACTTCACAGTTTACTTCACTTAGGCTTGCTGACACTTCCCAGGCTGTACAGTCAGGTTAGCAGAGATCATTATCTGGAAAACCAAATGTATTTTGGTTTCAGTGACTACTGAAGGCTACTTTCTTGTAGCCATGTCTGGAAATAAAGTATGTATTTAAGCAGTTATTTTGTGTTTAAAAGAAGACTCTAAGGCAGCTTTTAGTGTACAGAATGAATCCCTCAAAGTATCGGTACTCTTTCCAATATTCATTTCTTCTTTCAGATATGTTAGAAGAGCCTTGCTCATCATTCAATTATTTAGAATTTTTATTTTTAAATTTTTGATTTTTGCAAATTAAAAAAAGGAAAGGGCATAGTTGTGAGAATTGATTCTTCAGTTTTGGGTTCTTTTACCACAAAGGAATATTGAAGAGTAAGTGAAGAAAAGAGAATATTATGTCTTCCTTCTAACATCTGCAAGATCATCTTCACTGTCCTATTATTTTGTAATACTAGACTGACAGAGATTTTTTTCTTTTTAACAATACTATATGTTTGTTGGTTTGTTTTTTTTTGGTTTTGGTTTTTTTTTTAACAGTCTGCCAGGAATTGTTGATATAACATAATTCTTTGGATTATTTTAAACAGTAGTCTAATGCTGTCCTTTTTTCCCCACTGTGTACGCCTACTTTTTCTACGTCTCCTCCTCCCACTTTCTAACTGATTTATAAAGACTCTGTTCTGCTTTGGTGACTGTTATGGATTTTCTTCTTCCTTTGCCAATAACAGGGTGTGCTGGAAAGATATTCATGAATACAACTCAAACTGAGTTTGAACACCAGCCAGTGAAAGGTAGAAACTTGGGTTAGTCTAGAACAAAACGTTAGTACAGAACGCAAATATGAACTGCCTATGGTTTACTCCATAATTTTCCTTTCTCTTAAATAGAGCATCTGCCTTCTACTGGTTGCTCTTGTGAACAAGTATTTGTCTTGCTAAAATTGTGTTCTATCTTAGTTTGACAGTTTTTAAGTTCATGTTTTTCCTCTAATGCACATATACAAGTAAAAATGCTGTAATCTAACCAAACTAGACAGAAATTAAACTTGTAAATATGTTTGCAAGTGAGGAGTTTTCCATTACCACAGATGACAGTTCTAAAAGCAACTGCCATTAATAAAAGGTGGAAATGCTATTTGTATGAGATACCGATGCTTTCATCTTATTATCAACATTAATTAACAATTGTATGACAGTTTCTAGTTTGTGCTTATTCAGCTACTGTATAAAACACCATTTGACTACAGAGTAACACAGCTAAGCTGTGCCTTTTTTTCCCAATTACTGTTGAACCATTCACGCTTTAGTGGCTTTCAAACACAGTCGTCTCAATGGGGATTTTTTTTTTCGTTACTTCAAGTTGTGTGATATTGTTTCATCCAACACTTTTCTCACTCCTTCCTAAATAAGACTCTGTATTCTGATGTGAAGGTGGGACAGAGCAATGTAATCCCTGACTGGATTTCCTTTTCTTTTCCTCCTTGAAACTAACTCCAAAAGAATGTTGCAAAAGTAGAGTCATCTTCTTCCAGATGTTTTTGTTTCCCCAGTACCTGGAAAAATAACATTGCAGCATTTGGAAGATCACTGTTCTATAAGCTGGACTTTCCAGCAGGTTGAAGGAGGTGATCTTTCCCTTTTACTCAGCACTGGTGAGTTCTCACCTGGAGTTGTGTGTCCAGTTCCAGGCTCCTCAGTACAAGAGAGACATAGACGTACTGGAGAGAATCCAGCAATGGGCCACATTAACAGATTGGAGCATTTCACATCTGAGAAAAGGTCGTGTGTGCTGGGACTGTTCAGCCTGGAGAAGATAAGGCTCAGAGGGGATCTTGTTAATGTATATAAATACCTGAAATGAGAGTGCAAAGAGGACAAAGCCAGGCTTGTCTTGATGGTGCCTGGTGACAGGACCAGAGGCAATGGGCACAAACTGAAGCACAGAAGGTTCCCTCTGAACATCAGGAAACACTTTTTCACTGTGAGGGTGACTGAGCACTGGCACAGGCTGCCCAGGGAGGTTGTGGAGTCTCTGTCCTTGCAGATACTCAAAAGTCTTCAGGACATGGTCTTGGGCAACTGGCTCTAGTTGAACAAGGGGTTGGGACCAGCTGACCCTCGGAGGTCTCTTCCAGCCTTGACCATTCTGTCATTCTGTGACTTTTCAGTTCAGAAATTGCAACGTTGGAATTTGTGATCTATTCAAAATACAGCTTAGTTTTTAAAGCTCTTAGTTTTTAAAGCTCTGCGCACGATGGCAGTCCCTTAACAAGTGGTTATTATTGAGCCTTGAGTGTTAGGCTAATATTTTGTGCAGTCTTTGGATGTTTGGTGGTGTTTTTAAGATGATACACTTCTATCAGTTATATTTCTTTGATTGTACTTTTCTTTCTAAAACTAGATTTTAATGAAGTAATCATATTAGTAACCATTCCTTTATGAAGACTTCCAGTACTGACTTTTCCTAAAACTGTAGTCTTAAGAGAAGGTGAGGCTTAGTGGATTTTTTTTTTCCTGTCGTGAAGTCACCAGTAGTCTATGTAAGCTATTGAAATAACACAAACAAGAAGTTGCTTTCTTCATTAAGGCAAAGTGATTAACCAGAGTTATAATTGCTGTTTCCACTAATTTATTCTTGTCTTTTTTGTGTATATGCAGAGCACAAAGTAATCATAGTGGGACTTGATAATGCTGGCAAGACTACTATTCTTTACCAATTGTAAGTATGTGAACTATTTTGTTCTTCTGTTTGCGTGTTAGTATTTGTCACTGATTGAACATTGAAACATTGGGCAACTTGGAATTGGCCAACGTTGAACATTCAGCTTTGCAGCCTGGCAGAATCATTAGGCTTCTAGATCACAGTCTGTACATTAATGGTATTAATGTATCTTGTTCTAAACAGAGTAAATATTTAAAGGATAAGTGAAGGAACCACAGTGTCTTAAAACTGGACTGTAAATTGAATAACAAAATTGTACTACATATTCAAGCACAAAGTGAACTGCAGATTCTTTCTCCATCAAAGCCTGTCTTTATTTGTAAGTGTAGAAATAATCTTGTTGCCAAGAACTGCAGAGAAGAAAGTTATTTCTAAATTAATGGAAATTATAGCCACTCTTCAAAAATTTATAAGGGTTTCCAAATGTTGTCAAAAATTTGGGATAGAGGATTCTTCAACATAGTGTTTCAACTTGCCTAGGTCCTACCTTAAGCATTTTCAATAGCATCATTGCACTCAAATCTTGCTAGTATTACAAGACTATCTATGATAAATCCAAGAAATTTGTCAGGAACATAATTACTATGGTAATTGTGGGAAATGAGAAGGGTGTAGCCAAAATACTATGTATATATTCGGATACGAAAGCAGCAGAGGGTGTTTTCCAAAAAAACTTCTTCCTAAGCACTTTTGACAAAGCTTGAGGGTAGAACAGAGATTTTCAGCTATGTAAACAGTCCTTAGGAGTTTGTTTTAATACTGAGTAAATAAGTTGAGTGCTCTGATAAAATTATATTCTGATTCATATTTTGCACAGTTTAGTGTTCCCCTTATTTGAGATCTTTAGAATACCAACTTTTACTTTGAAACAAGCGCATTTTAAGTATCTGTTAAAATGTCCTTTAAAAAGAGAAGCCTCTTAAAACACAAATGCTTATCTGTTTATTATAAGCCTTTTATGTACTTATTTGTCATTGCTGATGTCTTTAAACATGTCTACAGTCTGCTACAAAAGCACATTAGAACTTTGTCAACCACAGTTTTTAGTCCAAATTCAGATTGAACTAATCTTTTAACTAAAGAACTACGCTTAAATAATTGCTTTATTTCTATAAAAATTCAAATGTATAGCTTTTTGAAATATGCCTATTTTTTTAATCTTTCTTTATCAGTCACATATATTTACTTCTCTACAACAAATTTGTTGTAATTGAGCTATGACAAGCCTTGTGGATTTTACTGGCTGGTCTTTATCGTTTGATATTGTTTCCTTTAGCTTAATGAATGAAGTGGTTCATACTTCTCCAACCATAGGAAGCAATGTAGAAGAAATAGTGGTGAAAAACACTCATTTCTTAATGTGGGATATTGGAGGACAAGAATCATTACGATCATCATGGAATACCTATTATTCAAACACAGAGGTATGAGAAGCTGCTTTGAAGTCTGCAAATTAAAAAAGTTTGTTGGAAATTACATTTATTTATTAGGAATATTGGTAGATGTTTGTAAAGATTGCAGCTCTATTGGTTTTATATATTTTTGAGTAAGAACAAACCCAAAAAGTGTTAAGTTGTCTCTGATATGCAGCCTGTTTTCTGGTATTTGAAGTATTTTTCCTGTATACTTTAAAGTAATGTTGCTTGATCTCTGGTACAAACTGTGGAGTTAAGACTTTTTTCCCCAGACAAATCAGATGATAGCAAAATACACTTCAGATGAAACTGGTTTTTTGCATGTTTTTTCAAGTAGATTAAAAAGAAAATTTTGCAGTGTACTTTGGAAGTCCAGTGAGGATTTGCAGTGGTTAACCTAACTTCCATACATCTAGTCTGAAAGGTTTTTGAGGTGGCAATAATTAGTGATAAAGAATGAAACTTTCTAGGCAGCAGTATTTAAAAAGCTCATCAGCTTGTGGCTTTATCGAAAGGATAAAGGAAAGTCTAGCTGTGCAGTACTCATGAGGTATTGGTAAAGGTGCCATTGCTGCAAAGGTTGGAGTAGAACTCAGCAACAGCTGTCTTTTAGGAGTTTGGTTTTTTTATGCCAGTCTTTTTGTTGCAAAAGGTTGTCAACGCAACATGCACATAAAATGTCTGTAGCCTCACTTTGACACTTCTACACTGATATAAAATATTTTAGTCTTAATTTCTTACCATTTCTACTAAAAGTAGAGGTCTCTTGTAGATATTGCTCATTATAGAAGCATTCTGTCCTCTATAAAATGAGGTTTTATGGCCTGTGCCCTCTTTAAAAGAGGGGAGATTAGAGTGGTCCACTCCAGATGTTGAGAAACTTTTTATATATTGAAACCCTATTGATGACATCTCAAACTTCATCTCTAATATTTTAAACTTATTTTTATCTGTAAAAGTATGGCTGCATCTAGGACACATACATGTAAGAGTGAAGAGTCTTCTGCCAGCATTATCTGGTACAATAACAATAAGTTCTTGACATTTGCCTGTTGAGAATCTTTGATTTTGGAATATATACATTAGTTCTTTTTTTTTTTTTGATCCTTTTAGGATGTTCGTCATCATATTCTGACTAGTAGGTGTTTGAAATCCAGTGCTTTCTAGCACTTGGAAAGAACTTTCTTTTTACTTAGAAGCTTTGTCTGCTGCAAACAGTTGAGAAAGAAAAGGAGTCTTTTTAGTATGCTAATCCTAGCCTCCCCTATATGAATAATTCTTTTACTGTTCCTTGTCAACTGCTAGACATCTCAAAGTCACAGCAGCATTAAATTGACTCAGTTTTTCATACTTTATGGTCACTTCTAATGGGTAGTGAATCTCCTTAATTTTATAAGACAAAATAATTTGGCACATATATTGGGGAATTACAGCAGTGACTTCTGATCCTCCTTTTTTGTTACTCTATCTCTTTTCTCTCTTTCCTTATCTGTAAATTGAAGCAAACTAAAGAAAATCTTGGAAGTAATGTAAAAATCCCACATATAAGCTTTTCAGTGCATACCTGTTCTAATTAGTTTCAACTTAACATGGCTAATTCTACAATTCTGTTTTAAGAGTCAGACTGTATTTTTACAGAAAAGATGTTGAGACAGGCTTGCAGACATAAGATTTGGGGGGAGAGGAGAGGGGAGGGAGCTCTCATGGTTAAGTATTCCCATCTGGGAAGAGAGGTGATGGAGCCTCTTGGGTGAATTTCATCTCCTTGGTTTCCTCTCCAGTGCAACATGTATTCTCTGTTTTTTGGGGGTTTTTTTATGGTATCTGTATAATTTTCATCAGAACATGCTTTATCTCCCTGCTAGTTGTTCCCAGCTATGATGCTTTTAGCACTGCTTGGAGCACACTCTGGGCAGGGAAAATGTTGAACACTGATCGGTTTTTATGGTTTGTGTACACGTACTATTGTGTAATGCTTACAAGCATTTACTTGATTATTACCTACCACTTAACACCCTGTCTTTTTCCTCTCTAGTGTAAGGCTATGAGATAGAAGGCACAAAACAAGGGGCAGAAAGAGTGGAGTAAAAGAGAGTAATTTTCATACCAGTGACAATTTCTTCCCACGGGAGACCTGATGTACCAGAGCTAGCAGTGTCTCGGGATTCACAAGCGCATGGCCATGAGAATAATGGCAGGAACAGTAAGGGTAAAATCACTGCTATAGCCATCTCCAAGTGCCTAGGTGGAAGGATACAAAATTTTAAGTGAGAGGCCAACAGCACAGGCCCTTTGTGTTACAAAGGCTAAGCTGTTGTGCAACAACATAATGCTAGGCCCTACAGGTACATAGCTTTCTGAGCTCTGATGTGCTACTTTGAAATACCATTTCTTAAGACATGTGAGTAAGATGATACTGAATTGCTAAAAATGCTTCTTACAAAATAGGGAATTTCAGTTTCAGTTTTATAGTTGTCTGAGTATGTGAGTAGTAGTGGAGAGTAATAGCTGTTTTCATTAATAACTATGTAGCAAGTTTGTCATCCACATTTTAAAAGTAACCCACTGTCTGTAGGTGGTACCTGTGTCACTATTTTGCTTATGATGTGGGGCCTGAAAATCCACTGAGGAGATTTAACTGTAGTACATGAAAGCAGAACTGAATAGCAGTGCTGAAATGTACAAGCACAATTTTTAATTATTTTTTTTTTTTAAACTATAACCTTCATGTATGATTCCCAGGGCTCTGGCAAAATACTGTAACAATAAACCTCTTGTTCTATTTTCCAGTGTGCTCTGAAAGTCTGTGTCTCTCTTATATAGGAAGACTTGTGGTAGAGGTCTCTTGCAAATGTGCTTTCTGTAATTTATACCTTGTATTTACATACTGTACTATTGGTTTTTTCCCTAGTTCATCATTCTTGTTGTTGACAGCATTGATAGAGAGCGACTTTCTATTACAAAAGAAGAACTTTATAGAATGCTGGCTCATGAGGTATGGTGGGGAGTTGGGATAATAGTTTTCTTTTGTTGTGAACTGTCAAATAACATTACTTCTTTCCTATGTTAGAAAAAATCACTGTTAGAAAAAAATTTCTGAGCCTAAATGTGCATGCATGTTGATCACATTTTAAAACCATGTAAATTATAAATAAACAGGAAAATTACTGTGAAGCACTCTTCTAATGGGACTTGCTTGATTGTAATCAAATTACTCTTTACTTTGCAATTGTTGAAATTGTAGCATATCTTAAACTTCATATTAATGTAATTGAGTATTATTGTTCTTCACCACTGTCTCTTCTTTCAGTTCAATGGTTAAAATTTCAAGAAACTGTTTTTAAAAAAATTACTGTTATTTTAGAAAGTAGGCAATTCTATTTATCTTTCTTGTTAGTTTGAAGTTTGTTTTTCTTTTTTTAAATACTGTTCCTTAGAATTAAGGAGCATATACAATACTATGAATAAATTCGTTTCAGTTCAGTTTCCTTCTGAATTATTTTGTTCATAGTTTTAATATTGTGTGTTGTATTGAGGGCTGTTCAACATTGGGCCAACTCCCTCAAACATCCTAAATTAACATCTACTTTGGATTAGCTAAAGTACATTAAAACCTGTGATCGCTCAAACTATATTAGGGTTGTTTTAAGTCTAAATATCTTTATTCATTTTTGAAGGAAAAGGGTTTAGTACAATGCAAGTAATTCTGTTGTTCATTTCTCTGAGAGGTTTGCATTGTTTCAAATGAGTGAGTTTTTACTTTACAGTTAATATTTACAGAGTTTGGCTCTGGTAGTGAGGAGCAAATATACTACCAAAAAAGATGGAAAGGTTACTTTTTGTGGTGAATTTTTCCCCACAAAGTTTTATTAGTTTCCAGTGTTATAAACCCTTATGAGATTGTGATCTACTATCTCTTGAAAACAGTTGGTAGGCCTAGACTTGACTGCTTGTAGGAGTGCATTTTCAACTTTGGACCAAAAAGGTTTAATTTTTTAATTTTTTTTTTTAAATTCTCTTGATGGAAAAATAGTCTCAAAATTTAATATGTGTTGAAATGTGTTGAACACTTTTATTTACAACTGTCAGCTTCCTGAGTATTGCATTTGTTTACCCTTCTGCACTCATAAAACCGTACATCTCAGTTCTTGACTCATTACTGTGTGGAATCCTAATTTCCATACAGAAACAAAATAACATTTTATTAGTTTCTGGTTTTGGTAGAGCTGCTGCAGCATTATTAGAGCTCCATTTTTGGAACAATAACATAAAAATTAGAAGAATGTAAATAACTTTCTTAAATTGTTACTGCTTTAATCACTATAGACCTTTTAAAATGAAGTTCAAAGGAATTTCAAGGCAATGCTATCTAGCAGGCTTTTCCATTTGAATAGTATCTAATGTAGATTTTGGAATGTTTATCCAGTAATAATTCTGCTGGCTGGATAGTTTGGAGCTTTATGAAATATATTATAACAAAACTTCCATTAGTTAACATATAAAAATGTGGTCAACACTAAAAGGGTGGTCGTAGAATACATTATAATTCGATTCTCTGAATAAATTGTTTTTCTCAGTTTTAATGTAATTAATTTTTAGTGCAGTAAGTCTCTTAAAACTCCATGCTGCTGTGTAATTGTAGATGAGCTTGAATACAGTTCTTTTAAGAACTTCAGTTAATGCAATAGTCTTTTAGTTCTTTATAATAACTATTATGAATATTCTAAATTACTTCTAGGATTTACGGAAGGCTGCAGTTCTCATTTTTGCAAACAAGCAGGACATGAAAGGTTGCATGACAGCTGCTGAGATATCTACATACCTCACCCTTAGCTCCATAAAGGATCACCCGTGGCACATTCAGTCCTGTTGTGCTTTGACAGGAGAAGGGTAAATGCTTACTGCTTAGTATAGTAATACATGGTAAATGAGAACATTGATTTAGAATCCTATTGATGCCAATGTGGATTTCTGGAAAGAGAATGATTTTCTGATCTTTGAAATCAGAGGGACATTTTGAATTTTTCCTTTTCTTTATTTCATAGCTCACACTCAAAATTTGTGTGAAAGTCTTTCAGTTTATTGTTTAAAAATAAGCAGAACCTAAACACACACAAAAAAAACTCCAGCCCCCCTCCTCCCCAAAATATGTAGCTGTTGGCATAATTGTTTACTCACTGTGTGCTGCCCTCTCATTCTGTGTGAAACTGTCACAGTGTCTTTGTGTAGTTAAAGAAATAAACTCCTGTCTTCTTCATTTATATTCTGCTCTACTGTGAGCATCCAAGGTGTGGGAAGGTTGTAGTGGTTTGGGGTTTTTCTGATAAACATTCAAACATAGTTTTTATAAAAATGTACATAATCTCGCATAAAGCAAAATTGTTACCAATATTAAACCTTTTGTTTATATCTGGCTGATGTAGCTAATCTTGAAACTTGTATACCTTATACCAGCAATTACTTCTAAGGAAAGCTGAGCTTTCCTTAGATCCTTTGTCTATAAAGATCAAGAAACATTTTTGGATGCCTGTAACAAGTTGGATAGTGTCTTGCTTACATGGTTTGAAGTGTGCTAATTTTTCATCTTGATTTTTTAAAGAAATCTTCTAGTGTGTAATAATTAGAGGATTTTTTGTTGTGTTGTATAACCTTTACAATAATGCGATCTTGCAACATCAAAAATGGTGAAGCCAAATGAGTATTTGGGAAGCGAGAGCATCTTCCTCACTTCTAGCATGAAATATACTTCAAATGTAATGGAGATGTAGAGTGATTGGTAGCATCCATTTCCTTAGGGTGGGATACGTTAGTAAGAACAAAATGGTTTTTTGATTGAGTTTTTGGATTGTATTATTTCATTGTAAGAGTTAACTCTGCTTTCCTTCTACCAGTTTTACCAAAGTCACTGAGTATTTAACTTACGTACTAATTTAGCTCTTCAAATAAGTTGGCATTTGGAGGAAGGTATAAATTAATTAATATGAACTTTGGTTTAGAAACATTTGCCATCCTAGGCTACTTAATACTTAAAACTGTGACAGTAGTGAGACCAACTCATTAAAAAAAATCCCAGATTTCGATTGCTGCACTGAATCTTCCTTGGGGAGATCTGACAGAAGTCTAGGGAGATTAGCCCTGTGTAAGTGAACCTAGCCCTCTTGCATAGCTAGATCGTTATTTACTTTACAAAGGTAAAGCTTAAAGATGGCATAAACTAGGTAACTAGATCCCTAGAAAATCAAAGGAAAGCCTGCCTTCTGAAATGGAAAACTTAAATAGAGATGCAGATTAAATGAGTAAGCAGATTAGATCCCATGCAATCTTGGTGTTGAATATAAACATATTTTTAATTTTGTAATGGGATTTTGGAATTCCTGATACACTGCCTTTTCATGAACCAATTCAGTCTGGGTAACCTGTTCTTTGTCTTTTAGTATTAGTATATAAAGGTGAATCTCTCAACGAAGCAGTCTTTCATGGGAAACCTGTAGAAAAACTTATTTGATTCCATGTGCTTATGAGTAAGCATGTTAAGAATAGTGTGTTTTAGATTTACAAGGGAAAAAAATGGGAGTGTCAAGTTTCAATAAAATAGCATGCTTGACTGTCTTGTGGTTAAAACCTAAGCAGACATAGTTTAAAACGCTATTTACTCTGTTCAAGTTTCAGTCCCAAATCCATGTGATTTTATTTATTTTAAGTAGATGTTTTTAAACATAAAAACAAGTAGAAAATACTTTTAAAATGTTGGAATAGAACTAGTACCAATATAGCATCTCTTATCTTTCAGATTATGCCAAGGCTTGGAGTGGATGACCTCCCGTATTGGAGTGAGATAGCTTCCCCCCGTACCCCCAGCAGAAGAAAAGACTTCTATTTATCCTGTGCACATGTACATTTTTCTGTACTTCTGTCTGCTGAGGCAGTGACCATGTTTAATTTATATCAGCAACCACCAAGCTGTACTTGAATCAAGTGCAGTTGAACTGAAACACAAAGTATTTTCTTAACTTTTTTTAAATACACTTTCAGCTGGATGAACGTATGTGAGTCTGTTTTTAAGCATTGAAATTCCTCTGGATATGTATTCTAACTTTTTCAATGATAGCTTTTTAAAATCTGTTTTGTCATTGTCAGTATTTCATATTTCCTCTTTCTAAATAGTTTATATCTTACTAACATAATTATGCAGTTTGCTTAATAATGAAAAAGTAGTGAGTAGGTTGACTTTACTCTGGCATAGCTTTAGCCTCTAAGGATAACCATATCTCCAGCTGGGCTTCCTGGAACATCAGTAAAGTTCTATCCAGCATGGGAGTTAATAGTTATGAATGCAGATTTTTAAATACTGAAAGAATTAGTTATACTTAATATTGTGGTGGCTTTTAACCTGGTATACAGTTGAACTTCTGCCTTAAAAGAAAGCTATTTCATTCTCAGTTTCTCTGGTAAGTAGTTCTAGGATATGATTCTTTTTCCTTTACTTGAAAATACATCTCTGTCCAGTGAATAAAAATTTTGTAATTAAGTGCTGGTTTAGTTATTTAGAACTTGAATAGTTTTTTTAAAAATAAATCTCTTGATAATGAAATTTGAAATAATGACAGCCAGTGTTATGTGTAGATTTGCTGTAATCTGTTAAAATTTTAAATACTGTATACATGAACCTTGTCCACCCTTTAGCAAGAGAGCTGTTTTCTAAATGAATGCAAAATCAAAAGGGAAGACAGATTTATGAGAAGAACAAAATCATGGTGCTGTATCTGTAGACTTCAGAGTGAAGCTAATCTGGACATTTATTTCTCTACTATCAAATATGTTTTCAGATTCTGTTGCAGAGAAAATATTTTGCCTTAATTTTTTTTTTTTTTTTTTTTTTTTTAGTCTTATTTGCAGGAGCAGAGAACTTTTAATGGTGTTCAGGTTAGATTGATTCTCCTGAAATTTAGGAACTGAAAGTTGAAAAAGCAGAGAGCTTCCATTTGAAAAACAGGTGATGACAGACTGGACCTAGTAACTGTAAAATTCAGATTGAAGGGGTTGAAGTTAGAGCTGTAAAGAGAATCTAAAGCTATGGATGAAGTTAATTGAGAATATTAGGCATCAAAAAAAAACCAACCAAATGCCTGAAAAACTATCTAAGAAGAAAAAAACAAACAAACAAAAAAGAAAACAAAACCAGTAGTGGACACCCAATTCTAGTTTAGTGACAAAATGTTTTTGATAAATCTTGTTTTGATAATTCAAGCACACTGGGTTTTCTTTAATAAAATTGTAAGTTTTGTAAATTTCAGTTTGATTCCATTTTTATTTTAACAAAGCTTAATGAAATTTCAAAATTATCAGCAAATATGTTGTCATAAGTGTTCAGAAAAAGACTTTGAATACATGTGAAATCAGTGATTTGTTGAATTAAGTTATATATTAGGAGAAAGACTATATTGAGTGTCCAGTAAAATGCTCAGAAAATAATTTACATCGATGAAAAGTAGTGCTTAAATAAAAAAAGAGGAATGCAATGAAAGGTTAAAATCTGATAATAAAGCTTTTTGCTCCAATGTTCATGCTAACAACTGTTCTAATATGTGAAAATAAGATTTGTTTTGTTCTTAAGGAAGCAAATTATAAAGGAAAAAAATAAAATGATACTGTGAATGGGATTTCTTGTTTGGTCACTTAATAAGTTCAGTTTGCAATTTAGAGTTATTTTCAGGTTTATTTTTATGGAATTCAGAATATAGTCCTGAATATTTATCAGAATCACCATCTGGATGTGTAGCCTTTTGATACCACACTGATTTTTTATATTTAACACTGTACAGGTAAAACCATTCATAAATACATAGTCTGATTACTAAATCCAGTGTTACCTGAGGTGATACATCTAACTTTGTTAAGGAAAAAATGGTCATATTGTAGACCTTAGAATATCAGAACAGTGAAAGTGGTTTTTTAATTCCTTAACACTGAAGACCTTTGAGTACCTTTACAGAAGGAAACATTCCTGACCATACTATGATTTTGATCACCTTTCTACTTCATTTTCTACAACAGTTTTCCATTGATGTTACTGATTTGTTCACAGCATTTAGGCTGTGGGGTTTTTTTGAAAAAGGCTTGGTGTGGTATTTTGGGGGGCTTATTGTTAATCACCTTCAGAGCCTGTTAAAGTGATTTGATTAAAATATTTTTTACAATGAGGTGCTTTAGAACACTGCATGTGTCTTTGCACTGACAACACTGCATTTTTTTTGTTAATTTGTATGTAGTAAATATATTGCATGTAGTTTTTGCACTTGGAAAATATTCTGCATTTAATATACTGTTCACAAAGAAAACTGTTAATCAGCTTCTCAGAGGAAATTAAAAATGTAAGGAAATATTTTAAAAACAAAATATCACAAAGATCTTTCTCCTAAATATTCTATTTTACTCAAAATACAGGATACTGGAAAACAGTAATTTTATGCATGTTATAGTCTAATTTATAAAACCAGACCCATTGTGTTATAATAATGCATCATATTGTGAGAGAAGTAGTTACAGTTTTTTTCACAGCCCACCTTTGAGCAATTTTTGTCATGCTTGGCTGAAGTTGGCAGGATCCACTTTTTGAAAGTAGTCCCTGCAGACTTTTAAGCTCTTTTTCTTAATTGAATTTGCTTAGTTTATTTGAAATGGAATTAAGTTTATCTGATTCAATAATACATAATAAGTTAAAACCATTTACTAAGGAAAAAAAATATGTTCTGTGACCATGAAAAGTTGCTTTTCCTTTTGTACAATTTAGCTTCTTAAAGTGGGTCATTTATAGTTGAGAAGAAAACTGTTTCTTTCCTTTCTTTACCCTACAGTTCACAGTTGCTGTAGGCTGCAAATATTCAAGTGTTCTGTATTGTAATTTCGTATACTGAATTTTTGAAAAGTTCATTTGCTCTTTGTAAACCGAAATGCCCCCCATAAAACATGCAATTCAAGTTTTTTCCAGTTTTGAAAATAAAATTCTACAGTCAAACTGGTAAAATTCTACAGTCATTTCACCATGTAAATATTGTAACAGACACTCAAATATGGTTTCAGGGTGGAAAAATGCTCTGATGAAAAATTACTAAAGTGTTTGAATTTGTGGCCTTCAAGTAATTTTAAGAGACTATGATTTGTGCTTTTTGTTTAGAAACAAAACAAAAGCTTCTGGACAAAACAAAACGTGTAGACAAATATTTACAGACAGATCAGTAATTTGTGTTGAGTAATGAAAATAAGAGAGTGGGAAGTACAGGCAGTTGAATTCTTGCTTTTCTGTTCAATCCCAATACTGTTTTATAAGGATATACTTAAAAAAATAGATACTTTTTCAGTGTCTTTTTCTCCAGCAATGCCAAAATCTTCCCAAAGAACCAAGGGTTTTGAAGATGTTCTCAAAGCAAAAGGTCTAGAGTAGCAAAATAAGTATGTGACTATATTTACATGCTGTTACCTAGACAGGATGCATCTCTTGCCTAGGAATATACCTCCTGGAACTATACATTTTATCACATTTAAAAAACGAACCCAGAAAGCTCACATTCTTGGCCTTAGTTTCTTATGTTAATGGAAAGATAAGCATATGTTAAATGAAGAGAAAACTTTGTAGATACAAAGATACAAGCCAATGAATTGTGGAATTTTGGGTAGTTCGTAATTTCTGTAAGACTACACAGATGTCACTATAGATAGACAAATCTGACATTAAATTGCTTTGTTTTGAGAAAACTAAAGCTGGAACGTGCCAGCTTTCGTAGGCACAAAAGTTCTACTTTTGGCTGAATATGACCTCTTTATAATTACTTCATTCAGTGCAATACTCAATATGTTTGAGAGGTCCTGAATATGTATCGTAGGTTTTTTTCACTGTTCACTAGTATGTTCATGGCAGTTTGCAGTAAATGTACCTTATCTTAGTCTCTGTACTCACCACTGGAGGTCAGACTTAGTGAACAAGCTGTCTTGATTTCTTGAGGCTGCCTTACTGCCTTTCCATCCTGTTTCTAATTCAAGCCCTTGTCTTCTTTTTTTTTTTTTTTTTACCTCCTTCCCTCTGAGGTATTGTGCCTTGTACTGTCTTGTCTAAGGATGCTGACAAATGCATGTTATCTTTTTTTAAAAAAAAAACCAAAACACCCCATACCTTAAGTACCTTTTTTCAGTTTGTATGTGTCTGTGTTTACCTTCTATCACCAAGCAGTCTCCATTTCCAAGACATTGCTGGCATCTTATCTGGGGGTCTGAAGAGTCCCCTAGCTGGATGTTCTGCAGAACTGGGGCAACAGTTTCTGGTACAGGGGCACAAATTTCCTGAAGTTTAGCCAGGCGGGCTGTACTAACACTCAGGATCCACGTCACAGCTTCCTCCAGTACCTGTGGGCACTAGCAGTTTTCTAGTTTAAATCTTTGCAAGTTCTTCTGTATCAAATTTAAGGCTCACTATTCACCGCTGGGATTTCTGTTCTGAAATGTGTGCTGTTAGCCTGATCTTGCAGGAGACCTTCCTTTTTTTTTCCTGTGAATAATCAGTTCCATAATTATAATATCTAGAGAGAGAGATTTTTATTTACTTTTTTTTCCCCAGCAGCAGTGTTGGTCTCATGTTAAATTTCTGCTTGTGCTATACAAGCATATACTGTGTTCCAGTTCCTGAAATTAAGACGTCCTATACAGATTTATCCTACTGTTAATGGGTTGGCATGTAGCTTTTTACTTGTTTATCTTTTTAAATTTCTTCTCTAGGTGGTAAAGAGCTTCAGTATCCCCAAGCCAGTGGTTCTTTCCATCTCTTTAAACACACTACACACAGTAATGGAAAGAGGACTTTGGCATTGCTACTCTTTTTTTTTTTTTTTTTAACTAAAAATTAATTGAAGAGTTATTCTGTTAAATTTGGTTGGATTTTTTTCGTTTGTTTGTTCTTTAGTGAAGAGGTGTCAAAATAGCGTAACACTGACTTTAAGTGTAGGGGTTAGTGAGAGCATTTCATCTTCAATCCCTTCACTTGCGCAGAATTGGGACCTGCATGTTGTGCAACTGTAGCCAGTTCATGGAACATCTTAGTTGGACACCTGCTTCCTTTCATCCCAGGAGAAGTTCTAACTTTGATCCTAAAAACTTTCACATGGTTTCAGCCATGGGAAGCATGGGTCTTTGTTTGTTTTAGTGAAGGGTGTTTGTTTTAGTGGACTGTTCCCTTGCAAAGTAAAAGTAAAATAAACCCAAATGGAAGAGCAGGAAAAAACTCGTTTTGTTTTTTGTGTGTGCATTTGACTATGCACTGAGCATTTAGCTGAGTTTGCTCTTTCCTTTTGTGCAGTCTGTCGTGTGAAATAGCACAGAAACAGTGAAGAGAGCTAGTATGAAAAATGTTCTCTTGACCACGATGCCAACAGTAACAATAGGAACTTGCATCTTGGAACAACACTTAACTTTTTCTAAAATTAATTTGATGTTTCAATGTTGAGTGTTCCTATATTTTGCTTCTTAGGGTGGAGCAATAGAAAGGTGCATACTGTCTACACAGTATGTGTGCACCCACCACACAGACAGGAGAATAAGGCTCTGAGAAAGATAGCCCTTCATGTAAATGATGTTTTGGGAGGCAACTTCTGACACTGAGCTAGATTTTCATAATATCAGGTGTGATACAACCATGTTTTTTTCTGACTTACTTTCTCATTTTCTGGGTCTACAGACCCAGTCTCAATCCTTTTTCTCCCTGTATTGGCTGTTGACAGTTACATGCTGTTTACAGAAACATAGATCTTGCTCTCTTGAACTATCCAGGAAAATCAAAAGGCTTTTCATATAGCTGAGTAGCTCAGAAGACATGGCTGTGCATAGTGAAAGTGAGGCTTAACTTACCACCTCGATATTTTTGCTGGGCATTTAACTGAAATTTACTGTATAAGATTTTAGGATTATGCCAGTACTAAACTGTTATTCATATAGTCCTTAATAAAGTAGTTAAGCTATTCTTCAGTTAGTTTTGTTTCTCGTTAGTTGTGCAACTCTTCAATTAAGCTGATTTTTGTTTTGCTGAGTAGGGATAGGCATATCATATAGAAAGCTTTCCTGTATGTAACTCTGTAAACAATCCTCCGTTTACACACCAGCATGTGTCCCCTAGATGGCAGAAAAGGATAACTTTAACAATGCCAAACTTGCATTAACTCGCGTGCTTCAGCATCGACCTGAGGGATTTTAAAAATTCCTCGGTAAAACAAAGTGGGTTTGTATCACTAGCTAAATCATGGGGATCATGCTTAGATACAACGGAAAAAGCACAGAGGAGAGGAAAGTTGAATCACCTTCTGTGGAAGGGAAGCTTACAGTGAATTTTAAGTAAATATGAAACTCTCTTCTATAGCTTAAAAGCATTTTATCTTCAGCATTTATGGTTAGAATTATTACACACCTTTTATTGTTGCTCTATATGAGAATGGAGGCAACAAAAAAATTAATACAACTCCTGACATATTTCATTTTTATAATAAGCTCTGCCTGCTGTCCATGACATACCTTATTTTTTTGAGCTTTGGTTGTTTGACAGTGTTCCTCTAAGGCTCTGCAAATTTGTACTACTTCCTACTACTCAGAAATTGCAAGGCAAATGTTTATGACATTTGAGATCTGTAACATTTGAACTGTCAGTTGCACTTCTAAAACATACCTGGCTGTGAGTTTAGCTGTGGTGGTGATTTGTAGTCTTTCCTGTATACTTACCGCATATGAAGGCTAAACTCAGGTAAAATGGAAGTTTCATTGCAATGTTTAGATCATCTTTAATGGTAAGCAGTGCTCAACATAGCAAGGTGCAATACCACCATCAGTCTTTCATTGCCCATCTCATTTCTGTTGCAGTTGAAATAATGCAGGCCTCCTGTGAAATGGTGCTTAATTCTCACTATTTTGTACAATTGGTGCTAAGTGGTTCAGTATTTATCAAAAATGTCTGAAATTAGGGAGCTAATTGGTACCAAATGTTGCAAGGTTCATGAAAATAAGTGAAGTAACTGAGGCAGTTGTTCCTGCAAGATTTTTCTTTCTCTGAAATTCATATAGGGGTGAGAGGAGAGACTAGCACAATTAAACTGTAGTGTTGAAATACTGCTTCTTGCTGAGGAAAGGTTGGAATGGAGCAAGGAAGCACAGGATGGTGACATGTCATGCTAATAGTTCTTCAGTAATTATGTAATTTGGAAAGCTGTGCACATTTGTTTGAGATCTGATAATTCATAGTAAGAGAAAAAAAAGAATGGTGTAGTGCTGTTTGACAGAATAGGATGCCAGCTTCTACTAAGCAGTGTCTTATTGATGACTTTGATAAAGACACCAGAATTTGGGAAACCTTGGGTTGTACCTGAGGCTTGGTTGCCAGTGTGAATTCTTGACAAGTGTTCATGATCACTTCCTTATGGTGGTGAAATGAGGATCTTCAGCTGTGCTTCTTGTATAAAATGAAATTCTAGATGGGGAGGGGGGAAAAAAAAACAACAAAAAAATGAGCTTTTTAGCCAAAGGACACTTTTGACACAAAGACACAAAAAGGACACTGCTTTTTTCTGACTAACTCAGAGGATGTACTGCACCACATCCACCCCCTTCTAGCATCCATCCATTTGACACTTAGAGCTGCCTTTTCTCTAATTGTTGATGAACAAAATCAAACTAATCTCGAAACAATTGTTCTGAGCTTATTTATAGTTTGCAAGTTACTGTTTCTATTTCAGGCCTTAAAAAAGGTTTACAGAAAACATTGCCAGCTTGTTCCAAATCTGAAAATATTTGGAAAATTTTTGGTCTAACTGTATTTTTAGAAAGACACAAGCTGTACATGTGAATGTGTTAATTCAGTGTGTATGTGTAATGTCAGTATCTCTCTTGTGCTTGGCACCTTCCAAAATACTTAAACTGTTGGACAATATAGAAGGTGTTTCAAGATGAATGGTATGGAGTGAGGACTGAGACAGGCAAAGCTGGAAGTGCAGGGAAGCAACAGCCGTGGTGGGACAGAGTCACTCAATGACGGGCAGTGCTGCACATGAAGAGGAAAATATCCTTTTCCTAGTAATTTATTTCTGACATTGCTTCTTGCTTTATATTTCCTCAGTTCATCCTTTTCTGATCACTCCCTTCACTTCTGTCTTTGCACATTCAGCAGAATTCAGGATAGTTAGTTCTGCCCTATTGTCTTTAATTAAAATTTGTAGTTTCTGCCAGGTGGATTGAGTCTGGAAGCAGGAAGCCTAGGACAAGGCTGTAGCAGTGCAAGCAGAGACCTTGCACTTGAAGTTGTAGACTAGAATTAGTGCTCTGTTTACAGGCAGAAGCAACGTTAATTTTGGGAAAATAGCCCTCCTCCTATCCCTACTAAATCTTTCCTTCATGACTTCACAAAGCCCAGTATCATAATATTTAATCATGGAACAATATTCAATCCTCATCTGGGCAGCACATAGACAGAATTTAAATTTATTTTCTGTAAAATACTATGAAGTATGCACAAGAGGAAAAAACAAGCTTATATAAATGCAAATGGGAAGCTAGAATTCTCTCTTTATATTTCATGGGCTCATATTCTGTGTATTTCTCTCTTTACAGTTTTTTTTAAACCTATTTACATTATTACTATTGAGAAAAGTGTTGCCTAATAATTAGCACTTCATTTTTATGTCCACAATGAAAGTTACTGCTGGCCTATCTTCATGACAGGTTGAATTGACTTGTATGGTCTCAAAGGGCTCATCCCCTCTACTGAAAAGAAGAGGTGAATAGTGTGGGGCATCTGGGGAGCAAGTGAAGTCTGTAAGACCATAATTTCTTTCAGCTCTTCTCTAAGGATATTCTTCAATGAAGTGATGAGCAAGAACTTCTTGAAACTCACTTTATATTAGTCTCTGCAGTGCATCTTTCACAGCTAGTTGCAGAAGTAACTTTTATGTACAAGTTGTACCAAAGAGTTTAATGGATAAAACTTAAGACATCTGTTGAGGTGGGTGTGAGCTCAGATGTGCTCTGCATCTGTAGGGTGAGATCCCATTCTGTTCCCAAAGCTGCTCAGATAGATGTGCTAGCACGGGTTTGTGTCAAAACTACACACTTTTCAAGGTTTAAACATGCCTTCTAAGAAAGCTGACCTTTATCTCCACACCCTGATTGTGTAGGTATACCCTCAGAAGGTGTCTCCAAAGCCCTACACAGAGGCTTCTGTGCTGTACAGTGGCATACGGTGCACTCACTGCATCCACAAAGAATAAGGTGGATGTGCCTCCAGAGGTTACTTTGGTCATGATTACCAATGAAGACACCAGAAGCTGAAATGAAAGGTACAAAGATAAAATGTAGTGAAAGTATTGGTTAAAAGTTTCAGATGTAATCACTGACCTTTTGGAATTAATTTAACTAAAAGGTGCTGTTGGTGAGGAAAACATCTACTGAGTCCTTTCAAAGAATCTCAAGAAAACATGTTTCAAATATAGTGTAGCTAAAACTGATAGTTACTTAAAAAAACCTTGGTAACTGGCTAACACTGGTCAAATCTTCTGTGACAGCTTTAAGAAAAATATGGCCATTTTCTTTACAAAACAAAACTCTGCTTTCTGTCCTCTTATTTTTCAAGACTGCACTTTTTAAGAAGTGTTTTCAGTGAATCATTTGAGCGCTTATCATTTTTCCATCAGTTTTTCCAACATTCACTTAGAGGCTGTATTCCATTCTATAGACAAAAGAACTAGAGCAGAAAGTTCAGTAGTTTGACCAGAGTCAAAGGAGGTTGCTGTCAGATATTGGGCTTGGAGACTTGT